ACTGCTGATGGTCCAGACAGCTGGAACATTAAAGTTTTGTACACTTAGTGTACCGATAATGATAATAGTATACAATAATATTGTGATGACTATGCCAGCCAGCGGGAGGGTTAGTGGCAGCGGCAAGCATTATGCGAATGTGTAAATAGTTAGCGTAATATTGTGGTATAATCCTGAGTCATTGTGTTTTACGGTTCTTGTTATTGTTGTATTTTGAGGGGTTAAAAATGACTGTTGGGTTCATGCTTTGTGTGTTGGGTTGCATTGAGCATTCGATGCTCGAACCTGTTGACTGCTGTTCGATTGGATGTGTTTCTCTCGCTGTATTATTATGCCTGTGTGTGTGGGAAGTCTGTAGTTGCTGTGACGGAGAAAATAAAGTAAACAGAGAGAGCTGGCTGACTGTGTGAGTTGAGAACGGTGAATTACGCCACTGAAGAGCATTTCAGGGTGAGGGCGCACACGGTGCCAGTAATAGAAGGAGGAGGTGTGATCCTTGAGGGATTGTAAAGCTGCGTGGTGCATAGAGCCCGGCTGCAACAGTGTTAGTCTTATCGTAGGAGCTAGCACCCCGCTAGCTAGCAGCTGCCCAGTTAGCATTCGCTCCTCTCCTCCGCACCGGAGGTCGCTACAATATATTACATGTTAGAATATGTGAATATTTTAGGACTTAATGTGTACATTAAGAGAATGTAGGTAGAGGTTTGGTACGTAAATTACAGACAGGTGACAAATTAAAAGAAAAATAAACGAGTGGTGTCTTCTGTTAATGCCCCCATAGGGTAAGAGGGGTCACTGGATGGTTTGATGAGTATGAAAATGACGTGAATCACAGTCACCAGATCTCAATCCAACTGAACACCTATGGGCATAGATAGATTACCATGGTCCACAGGTTGAAAGTGAGGGGGTTTTTTGCATCTCTGTGGCTTTGTTGTATTTACTCATTTTGAATCAATTTGTTGTTGACTGACTTTCCAACAGGAAATGTTTAAAAGTCACTTCATACAGAGGTCCCCAATCCTGTGGGCATCTGGGCCTGTGCCTGTTAGGCCCATTCAGTAATCCAGCATTTTATAACAGCACCATATGAGGAAATATCGTTTGGAAGAATGCCAAGCCACATTGAAATTGTTTGGTAGCGCGTGGTGGCCCAACACCTTATAAGACACTTTATGCTGGTTTTTCCTTTCATTTGTCACTGTCTGTGAACATTAACAAAAAGCAGCTGATAACCTCTATCCCACACTGTTTGGCTGAAGTGGTTAGGTGACTACCAGAGCTTGGCTTCCACTGCCACCTAGTGGCAGACAAGAAAAAATATCAGATTGACAGTGCAACCTGTATGGAAAAAGGAAACATGTTGTAACAAATAAAATCAGTCATTCAAAATATGAAATTTCATTGCAGGCTCTTTAAAAATGTTTATATTGTACAGATGGACAATAGTGTCAGTATAGGCCCAGTGGGTGTAACACAGAAGGTAAATGTGAGACAAATGTTTCATCATCATTTATGCAGCAATTACCATAAAAAAATGATACAAAAGTGGTAAATGTTTAAGTTTTTGGGTCCCCATAGTTTCCTAAAATGTCCTATAGTCATTCAAAAACATGTTCCTGGAAAGGGTTGTGGAATTCAGTGTTAATTAAACTTTTCCAACTGTTACACATCAATTTAAATTAATTACCATTGTAACTGGAGTCATCCAATCAGTGCACATCAATTGATAATAGATATTTACTCTGGTTTAAAAGGAGGAGAAGTTTTACAAAGAGCATCCAAGACAATGATTCTTTCTATGCTTACTTGACACAAGAAGGACAAAGTGACAACAAGTATATAATCCCTGATCCCAGTGGATAAAGTGTCGCCAATCAGCTGTTATTATGCAGGAAGAGTTTACAAGTCTGTGACCCTTAATAAACACCTACGAGATTAATTTACATTTAATTAACATTCATATTTAATTATGTATGGCTGAGGTGGCTCGGGCATCTGTTTCGGATGCCTCCTGGGCGCCTTCCTAGGGAGGTGTTCCGAGCATGTTCCACCAGGAGGAGGCCCCAGGGAAGACCCAGGACACGCTGGAGGGACTATGTCTCTCGGCTGGCCTAGGAACGCCTCGGGATTCACCCGCTGGAGGAAGTGTCTGGAGAGAGGGAAGTCTGGGCATCTTTGTTTAGGCCGCTGCCCCCGCGACCTGGTCCCGGATAAGCGGAGGAAAATGGATGGATGGATGGATTTAATTATGTAATCTCTTAATCAAATAAATGCATGGACATAAAAATCACACACACGCTTGTTGTCTTTTCTTGTGGTGATTTTACATTGACTTGCATTCATTTCCTGGAAACTTACCCAAGCCTTAAGCATAACCACTACTTGCCTAGACCTATCCCTGACCTTAAACCAAGCTGCCACTCTAAAATTCAGTGATATAGGTGGTGGTAACCAGCATCTGGTCCCCAAAAGAAAGGCCAAGTTACCCCAATGTGAGTATGTAAACAAGTTTCAGTCCCCACAATGTCAATAACATCAGGCACACAAGCATACCCACACACAGATCTTTCATGGAGACTCTTGCAGTACAACCATCTTGGTTTTTTCACTATTGTTGTGTTCTTCTAGGGGTAAAGGGTTGTACTCTCGTCGATACAGCAGACGTGTTGCCAGGGTTATGATGAACATCTCCAAGATTAACAGCTGCTGACTCATCACTGTGGGAAGAAAGTAAAGGAAACAGAAGTGGGAAGAAAGGAATAAAATCAAGAGAGCCTTCAAGGAGTCAGCCCTGGTGAACAAATGAATGCATAGATAGACTGGCTCATTGCTGAATGAACAGAGAAAAACACATGGATAAATGGCTCACTGTATCCTCTGGCTAGAGAAGAGAAAGGTGGTGTGCAGGCAATGGTTCCATTCATAGCCAAGATGTTGATGATAGCTGTTTGCAGTTGGGTCAGGATCAGGATCAGCTACACACACACAAATCACACAAGTACACTGTAGATTGTTATAACCACAATGCTGGAAAGACTGTAAGACATGGCTAACATGGTTATTGGTGGGATTGCTGGGGAAACAGCACTGACACTATACATTTTGTGTGCCTTACCTGGTACATGGCGTACTTGGGGATGAGCTTGAGTGTTCGCAGGGCAGTCTTCAGGTGCATGAACATTATTGCTACAGGCCACAGGGCTATGATTGTTAAGATGCCCACAAATGGGTTGATCCATATAGCAGCTCCAGTAATGTTCATCTAAAATGTAATCCCACACACACACACACACACACACACACACACACACACAGGGTCAGTACATGACAAAAAATACAAATGGTATTTTACAGCTGTTGCTTGACACCATCATTCTTCCTTATCTCAGTCAATAATACTGTTGTTATCATTTCTCCACAGAGTCTGAATGTACTTTCTTCTATTGTCCCTTTTTTCTCTTTTGTTAAACTATGATGTCTTTGGCAATATAAGTAACAGTTATAATAAGCGTACAAACCACGTTTAACTAAAACTTAAGAAAAGCACGAGTCAAAGGATGCAACAAAATCCTACTGCTCACTAGTAAGAAATGATCAAGACACACTGAGTTTATGTGATTAGTAAATGCTTATGGGTGATATGTTGTTCATTGTTACGTCACAGGTAGTTACTTTATTGTCCGTGTTAATTTATATGCCACTGAACCCGCTGAAATCCACAGAAACAGGCACTTCAGACTCATGCACTTATTTTCACATTAATATAAAACTGCAATCAGATGCAGATGGGGGTGCTTATCTGATTTGAGGGTGTCATAGACTGTATTGTCATGGATTTGTAATGCATTACATATGCATGATTTTACACATAAAGCATTAGAGAACCATACTGTTTTATAAAATGTGAATGACTCATGTATGACTGTGGATGATGTCCACACCCCAACATCTTTGCACTGACATAATACAACAGAATAGGCATTTAGTCAAGATTATGACTATGGTATAACCTACATACACACAATTTAAAAAATATAGCTCATGCAGATCAAACAGTAATGAAGTCAATTAAATTTACAACCAAAATTACAAGCAAGCAACAGTAAATACTATGATTCCAGCTGTAACTTGAATCACATTATATTTGTATGAGTCATTAATTAGCACAATTTTCCAACTCACATCAGCCAGATCAAAGTTCCCGTTGGTCCAGAGAACAATGGAAAGGATGGTGAAGACAATCTTAAGAGTCGCAAACTGGAAAGAGCCAAGTTTGAGCAGGAAGAGAGAGCGCCTGGAGTTGGAACAGAGGAAATTACTTCAGGGTACTTGCTGACAAGAAAACATGGTATCAAAACCTTTTAAACGCCACTGAAAATCTATTGTGGAATTCCCTGCTGCCCTGAACCTATCCTGGATTATTGGTTCAGGATGTATTGAACAATTCAGAATGACCTTGGGCACATCTTTGACTTAAGGCATGTTCATATCTGAATGTTCTTACACGCAAAACAACAATATTGATTGTCCTCCAGAGGTCCATTACACAGTGTATTCAAAAAGTATTCAGACTCCTTCACCTTATTGTGCTGTAGAACCAGATACAACTGTAATTTATGCCCATCAATCTACACTCAACAACCCATAACAGCAGTGAATAGCATAAACACACCTGTCAGTCAGCTGCTAACACCAGAGGTGTGTTCCAGACAGTTGGCATAACAAACTCTGAAGTTAATTGTGAACTGCTCTTCTTAATTTTGGAAATATTCTGGAGAACACATGCCACAATAATGTCACATGCCCTTCTTGGGGTGATCCTGAGTCTATGCAAGCAGTGAAATCAGTCTTTGAGCATCCCGCTGGCCCTGGCTCTGGTCCTGCAGTGAGCCACAGTGTAATGCTGCAGCGGTCCCTGTCCAAGCAAGGTCAGGGTAAGAGGTCAACAGAGAGGGCTGGCAACCATTAAACTTTCTCAGTACCATATGGAGCTCAGTCATTTGCAAATCTGTGTAAGTCAGTAGAGGTCAGTGCCCAGAGAACACAAAAATGTGAAGTACTGTATGTGTTTCAATGCAAGGGACACTTTTGTCACTGCACAACCAACAGTCTCTTTTACCATATTTTCTGCATTGCCCAGGTACAAGCTCACATGAGGGCACCCAGTTCTTTCCTATGAAAGCCGCCCATTGGCGAATACAGGTACATCTTAATAAATTAGAATGTCGTGGAAAAGTCCATTTATTTCAGTAATTCAACTCAAATAGTGAAACTTGTGTATTATATAAATTCAGTACACACAGACTGAAGTAGTTTAA